GGGAGCCAGTAACCCAGGGTGGCTGTGCAGCGTGGTGCAGTGGAGGAGAGCTGGCAGCCAGGAAGCTGAAGGTGAGTCCAGAATACCCAGGTGTGCATGCAAGGCAGCAGGGAAGAGCATCGAGGGGGGAAGCACCCATACTTTGTGGCTCATGTTGGTGCAGCCCAAGAAGTGTGAGGCCGCTGGGTGGTTAAAAGTTGGACAGCTCTGGAAGCACATGGTCATTGGATGCACATGGCCTGAAAGAAAAGTATTTAAGGGTAAAAGGTATACCCCATCCGCATCTATCCTTTTTCCTTATCATGACACATTTTAGTAGTGGAATCACACCTACAAAAATAAGAGCAAGTTGAAAAGAAAAACTGATACTAGAAGAAAGGTACAACAGAAAATAATAGTACCATTCTCAAAAGAGGTATAAAAATGATGCAAGTTTTGCAGACTAAATCTGGTACTTTTTTCTGAAGTTCCTTGTCCTCTAAATCCAATCTGCAATTTGAAGGTAAGATGTTCCCTCTCTGGCTCACATACTACCAGCAATAAATATTTTGCAAATGAAATTCTGTTAACAGTTCTGTTGGTAATGGATAGAATCAAACAGTTCACTCACCTTCACTGACTCTGCAGTACTAACAGAAATCATAATAGTCAAGTCTTAAAATTGCAAATTTGAATGGACTTAGTGTCAAATATGCACAAGGAAACTCTGCTGAGTAAGAGGACTTTTTGTTTTTTGGGGGGTTTGTTTTGGTTTCTTTTTTACACACAGTTACTTTCCAAAATACACCCACCTTCCTCCAAAATATGGATCTTGGTGATCAAAAAAGATTATTCATTTACTTCCCACTTAGAACTTAGTTTCCATTTTGGTTTTCATTCTAGTCTCTACACACTACTCAAAAAGGCTCTTATTAAAGATGAGAAGTTTCTAGTTATTCTGATAAAGCAACCTTCTTTTTGTAATCTGTTCTACTTATGTCTTGACTCTACAAGCAGACTAAAGCAATGATATAAGCAGAAGAATGGCCTTCCACCCTCTCACTCTTCTTTTTCAGTTCAAACCAAGGAGGTATGGTGAAATACTAAAAGCACAGCTAGCTAATATAGCAGTTCCCTTCCTTGTTTTGATCTCAGAGATATTTCACACACAATGCACAAAACCCCCCCCTAAAACTTGGATAACTATTTTAACTACAGACTAATAAAGATGGCACTGATGCAGCCCTGTGGCATGCAGGCCTCAGCCACTAAGAAGTTGGACAGAACTGCTGTAGTGACAGGGATCTCTCCTGCACAGGAAAGCAATTAAGTTCCAATTCCACTTTGTACCAGACAGAATGGGCATTTGAACATGGGTGTCTCACATCCCTGATGAGTGTCCTAACAAATGGACTCTAAAACAGAAGAGGAGCTACATCACTACGGCAACTTCCTTTTCCTCCTAAATTTTAGTGTCTTCAGTCCAAATCCCTTTGTGGCTCTAGCTTTTCAGGTCCAAACTTTCCTTCTGAAAAACCCAGAAATTTCTTTTTGATACACAAAAACTTTTGTTTAACCTGAACAGAATGTTTTGGTTCTCTTTAATTTTGCCATTTGATAACTAAACTGAGAAGCCAGTTATTCACAGATAACTGTTAATCATAAGCTCACTAGTCCCTGGTAAGTACTCTCAAACTTGAGGTGACAGATTAATGACTAAAAAGAAGAATTTGCCAGTTCAAACTAATCTTGCACTTTCCTGGGAGGTATTTGTTGGAAGATTACAAGTTGACTGGATTACGGTTCCCCATCAACACCAATAGCCATGCACCACAGAGCACATACAAATATAAGGTTTAGTGCTTCCCTCGCTCCTCTCCATTTAAGAAGACTAAACACTTGCCTGCCTATAAGGTCTTATCAAAGCATACATATTGTCTGCCTATAAGACCTTATTGAATCATACATATTGTAAGAGGTCTCTTTCTTCCATGCCATCTCCTGTCAATAAAGTATGATGCAGGACATTAAATTTAATCAGGCTGGGCATCAAAACTGCCATGCTTAATTATTGACTTTCAAGTCTTCCTCTAATTCATAATCTTTCATAAATAAATGAATCATTGTTCTGCAACCTCATCTTTAATATCATATCAAATCAACAGTTTAATAAGCCTGTAGATAAATTTCACTAGAACTGTTTAAAGAAGACCGATTTCTCTTTCATTTCCTTCCTTGGTTTTTTTCTTTTCTATTTTATATTAAGTTCTTTTGAATACATACTGTAGTCTTTCAAATAAGACACCCTTTAGATTCTCAATTTAAAACAAGAAGTAAAATATCAAATAAAGACACATTTACGCAGCAGCTTCTATGTAACACATAAGAGCTTTGTCTTCTTTGGGCGGGGATTTTTTTAATACTCAAAGTTAGGTAACGGGCCATTTTTTAAAGTTAAATTTTATTCTAAAAAGTTTGTCTTATAATGGAAGAAATCTGGTAATATGGTCATATGGGTCAATTCTACAATCTTGATCCAGAGCATCCTGAATGCCCCGAGTTCCAACCAATATCAACAGGATTCTGAGGATCCTCTGAGAGGCTCATCACATGCCTTTGTTTTTTGTTCCATCTACAACTCGCACTAAAAAATTATCTTCTTTATTTCATGTATGCATCAAAAAAAAAACAGAGATGCTATTCATGTCCTCTGTTATCTATCTTAAAATGGTCAGTCACATCTTCTTTGTAAGTCACTAGTCTGTAAAATGTGTTTCTTACAAGAGAGACAACACTACAGAAACCCCATTCTAGTATTTTTTTTAATTATATTAGAAAGAATAGCATAGGAATACACAGACACTGTTAAATAATAACACAACGTTAGTCACATCCACAAAAGTGTTGCTATAAGGAATAAAACTTTGTGAAGTCAAGCCTACTTTAGTGTGAGCAGCTTTCATTATGAAGCAAGTTTAAATCTAGTATTCTAGGTATGGTAACAAGGGTTTCACCCAACCTAAAACAAATGCAAATATTTTGATTTTTTCCTTTTTACATCATAAGATTTTTAAATCCCACCGCACTGTGAACCCAAGCACAACAGAATTTTGCTAATGCATGAAAAAAGAGGTGATAAATGAACATAATAACAGTGGAACTGTCCAACTGAATAGTCACGTTATCCACAAAAGTGTTAATACAAATACAAACTATAATGTACCAAAAGGATAACTGGAGAAAAGCAGGCTGAATTTTAAATAGCCAAATACCTAATTAAAATTAAGTTTTTCAAGGAAATAACATCTCTTTCCATGTTTTATAACACACTGAGCGTGCCGTCAGCACTTCATTAATAAGTAATGCTCAAAAGGTGTTTTTTAAATGCACCGCTGGGAAAACTTGTAAAAACTATTTCCACCAGGATATCTCCCTTGGTTGTTAATTTAATCCCTTTAACATTGCAGTCACCAGCATAATTATGTGTTTGTGCATGACTGAGTGAGTATCTTTACCCACAATGACATCAGTCTTCCATTATTAAGTATAACTTGTATTGCAGTAGTACCTAGGTCTCCTGTTTGTGAGACCCTACCCATGTACTGGGCAAGAGAAAGTTTCTGCCTCAAAGGACTTGCAATTTAATCATGCACAAGTTTTCACAAATAAACCCCAAATCCTTCAATAGATGATGTCTGTTCTTCATCTCTGATATATCTGTGCATCTTACACTCAGTGGTAAGACAAATAAATGGTCAAAAAAAAGGAAACCTGCTACCTTAACTTAAATGTAGGCTAAAAACAGATGTTGCATTGAAGACATTCCTGAGTCAAAACCTGGGACAAGAGAAGAGTGGCACAGCCCTTTACAGATGTATCTTGTCCTTGGAATGAATGGCAAATAATTCAAATGAGCAGTGACTGCCCCTGGGAAACAGTGTTAGAACACTTTCTCTCGCATACTTCACAGGTCCTTGAAGTGGGAAAAACTGTAGGGCTGCACTACCACAATAAGGATCGGGCCCCATGTGGCTCCACCACCATCTGCCCCTGGCATACCAACATCTTCCAAGTAGAGGTGGTACAGGGCCTGATGCCAGCACACAGGCTGGCACAGAACCCAATTCCACTCTGTGGGGCCAGGCGAGGGGCAATGTGAGGTCCAAATCCAGCAGAGAGGCAGGCCAGACCCCTATTCAGGTATGCAGGGGCCAGCTGAAGTCATAAGAAGCCCAATTCTGGCCCATGGGGCCTGGTCTGATACATGGACTGTGCCCTACCATTCATCCAGCCTGTGCAATCAAAAGCTTCAGCACCAGTAGTTTGAGCTTTCACTAGGGAAAACCTCCTGACTTTTACAATGATAGCTTTTATAACGTTAGGGCCTTTATTGCCTGTAATTAAAACATCAACTTAACTCACTGTTTCTTTTAAAATAGTAACATTTGAAACTACAGAAACATGATATTTATTTTGTATGTCATACAAAAAATTACAATTGTTTTGGTAGTGTGCTCATCTATAATAGTTGAACCAAGCTACAAATTTAACCTGGATCATATACATAATTGTAAATATCTACAGTACAACTCATTAATCCAATTGCTCATTGTTTATTTGTGGCCAATACACAGTACCAGATTCTTAATATTTAAATATCTTACAATTCTAACTAAAATAAAACAGAAAACATTATTAAACAAACACTTTTGGATCCACAGTCAATGATCCATTTGTGAATCACACTTTAAAGAAACACAAGTCCCTCTAGACTTTTAGAAGTTGTAAAATTTGGGTGCCAATGATGAGACAATGCAAGGGTAACTTTTATGGCGATTTCTGAGCTAAAGCAGATCAGTTTGTGACTTGCATCAATTATCTTTAAGAGACTTATATATCAGCAGTGTCAAATACATAAATTACAAAGACATTGTACTGGATGTCACCCCAAGAGATTTTCAATTTTAAATTACCTTAAGTATTTCTCATACATTTAATCATTCTACAGTCATATTACTTACTCTGCATCTGCTACTGGTCTTCTGCACACGCAGTGAAACTTGCCACCAAAATCTATATAAAGATCATTTTCCATAACATGGAAAATTTCACCTATAACGATCTTGCCTTTGGCAGGTCCCATCTGAAATAAAGGAGAATGTCTCAACATGGATGCAAAGGACTCCAAATTCTCTGAATGCACCTACAAATAGATATAAAAAGAAAAAAGAATAAAATGTAAAAAAAACCCCTTAAATTTCACTAATACAAAGTAACCAATGTCTAAAGCAGAAATCAGATGTTATTGCCATACTGTATTCTTTAGGTAGAAATGCATGCTTCCATTTTCAGCAGCTGTTTTTTGAGGGGGGGGGTTGAGAGGGTGCATACTGTATGCAAGAAAATATGGTGATGACTCTTGCCTGTGGTGAAGGCAGCTTATATGCCAGCGATTTTAAACAAATAAATGTGTCTAGGTTGTCTCTCATGTTTTTCCAGTTTTATACAAGCTATTATATATAGCCTAAAACACAGACTAGCCACCTCCTACCATCTTCCACAAAACTATGTAGCACTTTGCAATGAGAAGTCTAAATCTCTTTGTGCAACTGAATTAATTGTACAATCTACTGAAGTAGCAGCAGTAATGTGTTGTAATCATTCCAAGAGAGTGCAGCACAAGAGTCAAAAAACTGTAAATCAGGAAACAATGACATCTCAGACTATTTTAAACAATACCGTATGTAAAGCAAAGCATCAAAGACCTGCCCTAATGGGGAGCAAAGACAGAAATGTGTCTCATAACTCTAAGCAGATAGCTCTGCATTATTTATCAAATATGACAGTATAAAAAACACACATTCCCAAGACTAATCTAAACAGATGCTGAAAAAGTTAACAGTTATACAGCACTAATCACATAGAAGATGACGACACTGCTCTCTCTATCTGTAAATTGGGTAACTCTCACTCCTAGGAAAGTCATAACAAGAGAAGATAGTTTTGAATTTCAACTTTACTGGAATGTACAAACAGCTTGGATTGCCCTGACATGGCAAACTTCAGGAATTATAAAGCAAGCTAGAGATCTGATATCTAGTAAACTTGCTGGCTCAGAGACTAACAGTGTTAACTGTTGGTCCCAACAATTCAGTGCCTAAAATGTTTTCAAGACACATCCATCCTCAAGAAATGGGAGTAGCTGTTGAGGGCAATCATAAAGTATCCTATATGAAACCCTCCTACCAAAAGTCACATACTTGTACCCTCTTTCACATGCAGACAGGCATAAATAGTAATCTAAAATGAGCTAGGTGGTATAAATTAATTTTACAAGGAGCACTTGGAGTGCTTCAAGAATAACAGCCAGATTCAGTAGAAGCGTTGACAGGAAGCATTAATGAGAAGTGCTGCTTCAGGTGCTGATGGCATTCCAGGTACCAGATTGCTTAATTCCTGAACTACACTTCACTGCTCAAAGGAAAACTGCCCAGAACAAATAATCCTGAGAGCTTATTGCATTTCAACCTTCAGATTGGAATGGTAAAAATCGTCTCGGGGCCTGCAAAACAACAGGTTTTGAAAGCGAGCCCAAAAATAACTTTGCAATTTATAGCCCCACTAGAGATAATGCTGAAATCCACAAGAACTGACTCACCAAGTATAGACATTGAGAATACGGGGTAAAATTTTCAAAAGCACCTTCACTTGGGAATCTACGCTCCAGTTTTAAAACTAACTTAGGCAAGTTAAAAGTCAATGGGAGGTTAAAACATTGCTCTGGAGAAACAGCTTAGTTATACAATGACATTCAACATACCCAACTTGGGAAGTTCAAGGTGAAAAACACAGTGGGCTCAAGGACAAAAGAACCTACATACTGGGAACACGGACATTTCTGAGGCAAGTGAACACCATAGCCTTCTCAGCCAGCTTGGGGCAATCAGAAAGGGCATTACTTCCTCTTAATTTTTTTTTTATATTGCTGCTGCTAGCAGCACAAACAAGGCAAAGAGGCAGACTTGACCATCTGAACCACTACGTATATCCAGTAACCTGGTTTGCAGCTGCCAGGTCATGAGCACATGATGGTCCTGCTCCTCCTCCCCTCAGCAGCAAGCTGCTCCTTGCTTGGGCAAGCCGGGAAGTGCTGGAAAAGCAGAGGCAGAGCAAAATCTCAGACACTTGCTGATATTTTAAAAAAAAACCCTGGACAGCGTTGGGAGGACCCAAAAAGAGGACATGCCCAGGAAAACCCAGATTCATGGTAACCCTAGGAAAAGCACTGTTTTGTTTTGTTGTTTCCATGTCTGTCAGTGGACACTGTGCTCGGTCAGGTGATACTAAGAGTCCAAAGGGCTTTCCATAGCATGCATCTCAATGAAACTGATGTTCTGAAACTAAAGTGACCTGAAGCATATTGTGCACTATGTATTCTGCTTACCCTGAGAACTGTCATTGGTTATTAAAAATGTTATGTCCAGAATGTCAAGGGAGGACCTTAAAATCATGAAGGCTTCCCGCTTTCAACAACTAAGGAGGAATGGTCAACTTAGAACTTATCTTCACTCTTCTCTTATAGGATGTGGTTTAGACATGAAACTCTCTGCTGGGCAAACATGCCCATGAAAAACAATCGAATAAGACTAGAAAATAAAGGAGTTACAAGTAAGCATGGGTGGATGAACTTGATTGTTTGACACTGAAGATCAAGGTCAAGGATCTTACTGAACTTTGCCAAGTAAAGATGACACTCTGCTAGTTTGCTTTCTAAGTGCACAATCTTCCAGGAGGAAAAAGTAATTTTCTCTAGATTTATCAAAATGTATCACATCCTTTGATTTAGACAACTATGCGTCTAATGGTGAGAGTCTTCCAAATTACTCCCTAGGGTTAAGATCCCAAGGACTATGCGTTCCAAGAGCTATTATTTGGCAGTCCCTAATTTGTTCACTGGCTTGCCATCTATAGTTTTATGACTGGCCTGGTAACAGAACCATAAATAAAAAAAATCAACTTTTTTGCGAGCTTTTGGTAAAAACTCCAGTATTTCTTATTTGATGTTACTTTGTCTTAAGCTTCTTCAAAATATTTAAATTCCACATTTGTGGATCATTTTCTGATATTTTGCTTTTTCCTTGTGACTTCTAAGTCTCCTCTAGTTATTTTCCTCCCATAACTAAAAAAATTGAGAGAATAAACCCTTGTGTAAGTTATTTACATTTTTTTATTCAATCAGCCTATTCAACAGTTTTATTCAACTGTTCAGTTATGATATATAACATTATTATGATAATATTAGTTATGATGCAAGTAAAGTTTCACAGTTTTTAAGGGAGGCATGACAAGATGTAAAAAAATTCTTAATTTTATGTATTAACAGAAAAAGCAATTTTTTTTTTAAATAAATCACAAATAGCTAGATATGCTCAGTTTCCTATATACATGCACACAAACATAGTTCACTAGAAGACATACAAAGGATGAGGCCTCCCTATAACTAAATGTTCATAAAAGCAATATGGATCAAGTCATCACAGCTCCAAACCTCTGTAAAAGACCCCAAATCAAGGACCAATTAATGAAGAAAGGCAATACACATTCTCTGGAGCAAAAACCCACCACTAAGCAGGGTGGTCCCATCCCACCCAGTGAGCAGCAAGTCTTGAAAACCCTACAAGTGCATTTTATATCTGCTTGCAAGGACAAGCCACGTGCATGTAGGAATGTGTGAGATACAGATGAAACATGGATAAAGGAGACGGGAGATTGATAGTTAGACTACTGCAGCTGGGGAATGAATGATGTGTTAACATGAAACAGTATGTGAAGAATGTACATAAGTATACTATTGTTAGACTGCGACTGTGCTGGGCCAGTCAGACATTTTCTCTTCCAAAATGAGTTACAACCAACAAACTGTGAAAACAGATTGCTTATAACCAGAGGTACTGTAGAGCCACAGCAAACAAAAAAAAGGGAACAGAAATCCGCAGATTACTTATAGGTTGGAATGAGCAGGACAAGAAGGGGAACTCCTTCCCCTTTGTACACACATCTTCCAAAGTTCCCTCCAACCTGCTGGGAATCATTACTGATAAGACACTTCTTTAGGCAGAAAATTATTCATTTTTATTTACTACCCCACAAGAATTTAGGTTTCCAGAATACCATTCCTATAAAATTCAATTCATATCTAAAATGCAATACAGAAGTCCCATCAATTTTAAATAAATGGCTCACTACAGTCACAGGCCATATTGATGTACTGGCTCTCCCCCCCTCTAAATATTATTTAATAAAGCCCAATAAATTCTACTTTTTGGTTATGACACTTTCCCACCCCCCCTCAAAGAGCTACACCCTTTAACCAAATAATGAGTAGGCATTAATCACAGAAACAGCAATCCTTACACTTCTTAAAGTGTCAATCCCTTGACAGAAGACTTTTTGTTGAGGTCATATATAGCTGGGTTCATTTTGATGTCTAAACTGCAAATTTGACAACACATACAAATCTCACCTTCTAGGCATGCATAAGTATTATGAACTCGGGTGTTCTTTTAGGGTTGGGAGAGTAGCTGCATCACAAAACTACATGCTACAATCATCACACTCTTCTTTTCTCTACATTTACCTATTCCTAAGATACTGTGGAGTTAGGGGAGGGACACTGACAAGGCTGAAGCAACCAAATGTTTGACACAAGCTATGCACTAATGGTGGTTAGAAATTCTGCAAATCAG